TTTTTATCGCACAAAACAAACATCGTTATTTTCCACCTCGTTAATTCAATAGAAATTACAACGAGCTATGGATGCTGAAATGGGTAAGTGAATTCTGTTTGAATACAGTATCGCATCATTATTAACCAGGTTTTTTTGTTGTTGAGGTTAGTCTGAGTGCGTAATAATCATAAACATTTGTTATTTTATACACGTAGATACTCCGATGAGCCCAGACAACAATAGCGAACCAGAGAATGGTCTGTCTAGGTCAAGTAGTCGAAGTGGATAAAGATCACGCTCAGCATCACCGATGGTAGCGCTGTTTCGAACCGAAGTGGATCTGCAAGGAGCCGCAGTGGTGGTAAGTGGTTCGGTTCAACACATGTTTGTTGAAAGCATTTATTATCTTCACGAATGTTGAATTGTAGATTATTGTTTTAATTTTCACTATTTTCATTCATAGGTTCTCGTTCTCGGTCTGGTTCACGTTCACGCAGTGGCAGTGCTGTTTCACTCAGAAGTGGTTCACCAGTGAATCGCAAAAAGCGTGCCGTTCTTAGTGATTCAGAAGATAAAGGTAAAAAATCTGAATTTATTTGTCCAATAAACACAAAATAATACAAAATCTTCTCGAAAATCGAAGGTGCCGTATCACAGCAACTGAAGCGAGCCAAGATTATTGACTCTGATAATGAAGATGAGGTGCCAGGTGGCGAAGGCGATGGAAACGAACGAGTTGAAAAGCCAGATGATGGAGGAGAAAGTTCAGATGAAGGTGTTATGAGAGATAATGATGGCCCAGGGTGAGTTTGAATTTTTAATCAATTTTATTCCATTCACTAAATTGTTTTGTTCTCAAACACAGAGCGAATGACGCGCCGCCAAACTTCAATGATTCAAGCCGATCACGAGTTGATTCAGCTATAGACATGGACGTGGAACATTATATAAAGACGTACCACATCGTAGGACCCAAGAAAAAAAATGACGAACCCGAATTACTATCCACATTGGATTCTCCTACCCATACATCTACCACAAGCCATAGTCCTGAACCTGGAACCAGTACATCTTCGACCGATTCGGTAAAACTAGATAGAGAGAGAGTTGAGGCGCAAGTGAAAATCATTATGGAATTGGCAAAAAAACAACATAACTTGAAAGATATTGGAACGGATCGTGGCAATCTGTCAAAGCAGATCAAAACTTTTTTGGATATGATTAAAACAGACGAAGTTTTTCTTAATAGAAAATTCCAATCGCGTCAGATAATGATTGAAATTCGAAATAAGTACATAGATAAACCAAGTATGGAAGATTTCGAAGAAGCCAATCTTGGAATATTACAGACAAATTTGGATTCTATTGTTAATGCCATATTCGAAAAATGATTAACTATTAGAACAGGGACTCCACAATGCTTGTGAAAATTGTGTTAGAAATTTGCCATCAAACATTGTTTTATTGTCTCGAAACGATGTTCCGTAATGTCTTATTATAAAAAATGATGGATTTGTATAGGGATTTGATTTATTTAAATTTACATTACTTTACCTGAGAATAATTTTAAATAGTCTGAATAAAAATTGGTTGAAGAAATAAATGTGAATGGCAAACGGATAAGAAAACACACAAATTTTTTCCATTTTCTCATTCAACTCATATGAGTACATTTTATTTTTATTGTTCATTACATTTTTCAAAATCAACATAAGGAACATCTGACAGAATGTGTTTTTTCATTTTATAGTTTTTCATAAATGATTTTAATTTTGATGTTTTTTCACAAATTTGCGAAATTTTCGTTGTGAAAGCTTCCATTGCGGATAACTCATCGTGGAACTTATAATTTCCTTTCCTCCTGGCCAATTCAAACTCTACAGAGACCTTATTGAAAAACTTTTGATCTGCTAAAAATTGCAGTAACTTCAACGTGTTTCCTGTATCTAATCGACCATAGAATGCGAAGCCGTTTAGCTGTAACGAAATGAATTTCGTATTTTGGCTAACTATGTTCAGTTTTCGGGGTATTTGTTCGAACATACGCTCATACATATACCATACGGGTGAGTTGACACAAATTTCAAGTCGTTCTATCGTTGGATGTTTTAAAACGAAGTCCAACCAAATTTCCGGTTCTTCACACAAGCACTTCACTGTCAATGTCTTTAGTTGCTTAAAAGAAAACACATCGATTGGACTCACTGCACTTAAGCCATAATCGCTTGACACGTCGAATGTCTCAATATTATCGAATAGAATCGCTGGTCCTTCGAAGTCATGAGCATGTTCAAAATAGTAAGATGCATGAATATTTTTCAAATTCTGCAGTTGTGTGCTTATAGACTCCCAAATACGCGGC